GATCCCCAGGCATCAGCTTCTGATGAGACTAAAACAGTGATGGAGACAGATGGGCTGCAAGGTGGGGATGGTCAGGGTGGCAGAGTTGATGACCTTTGCCAAGAGAGATGCCTTGTGATAAAGCTGGGCCTGGGCCAGGGGCCAGTTCCTCCAGCTGTGAAGGGCACCTAGGGGTTGACAGAGAGAGAAAGAGAAGCCCCCAAGAGAAGTAGGAGGTGGTGGGGTTGGGTGAGGGTGAGCCTGGCCTCTGGGGTGAGGCCCAGCCCCACGTCCACCATCCACCTGTGAATAGCACCAGATCGAGTATCTGCCTCCCTCTTCCCCTCCTCCCCTCCTGCCCTCCTCCTCCACCTCCCCCTTCACTACCTGGCCCTGCCTACGCCTCAGTGCACCCACTCAAAGGGCCTAGTCTAATCCCCTGACATCACCACTGCCCAGCACAGGCCCTTTCTGGCACCCTGGCAGCCCCCCGCCTCGGAGATCCAATTTAGGATCCCCCACCTCAGAGCCCAACTTTCCTTCAACCTTCTCCCTCCTTCAGCTCACAGTTCAGATCAGAGACACCCCAGATCTGGTCCCAAGCTGGGAGGTGGGAGTCTAGGATCTGTTCTAGCCTTACTGTGTGACCCCAGGTAAGTAGCTGTCCCTCTCTGGGCCTCAGGCTCCTTATTAATCGCCCCCCCCCCACCACCACCAGGTAATCATATCAACCTATTTTGGCTTCTTCTCAGCACTTTGTTGCTTCAGGAAATTTTGTTTTTATCAGTTCACACATTTGTTGTTGGTCTTCCCCTCTGGACTGGGCACCCTTGTGAGACAGGGACCGGACCCATCTTATTATTCACCCTGGTACCAGCCCACAGTAGAGGTCCCATCGAAATCTGCTGACTGAATGTAGACATGGGTGAAGGAGTGAACGGATGTATCTCCCGCCTTTGCAGGAAGGCTGTGGGCCTTTTTTCTCCACACCAGGGAGGAAGGTAGAGCAGTCTTCCATCCCCCAACTGGATAGGAGCAGGGTGGGGGTCTGACCGAGCACTCTGACCCAGTGGGTGGGCAGGGGCTGAGAACTGGACAATGCTCCCTTATGGAGAGACTGGGGACGTTGTGAAGAAGGACCAGAACTCAGCTACCCCCTTGGGCCGCGAGGCTTCCCCAGCTGGACAGGGCCTTAGGTCTGTGTCTGTGTGTCTGTACGGTGCTGTGTCTGGGCAGAGGGCAGCCACTGGCCCAAGATCTTCCAGGACAGCAGAGACTAAAACATGGCTCGATCTCAGGAGCCCTGCCCTCCAGCTGCACCTGTGTGTGTGTGTGTGTCCACCCACGTATGTACCTGTCTGCGCCACATGATCCCAGGGTCCTGGGATGGAGCCCCACGTCGGGCTCCCTGCTCGGCGGGAAGCCCGCTTCTCCCTCTCCCCCTCCCCCTGCTTGTGTTCCTGCTCTCGCTGTGTCTCTCTCTGTCAAATAAATAAATAAAATCTTAAAAAAAAAAAAACAAAACCCTGCCCTCATGGAGCTGATGCTCTAGTGGACGTGGCCTCCGCGTCTACGGAACCACACGCACCCTGCCGGGCCTACACATGCTACAGAAGGAGGGTGCAAACGTGTCCACGCGGGTACATGCAGACCTGTGTGCACATAGCCACACCCGTGATCCCTCTGGGATCATGACCCGAGCCGAAGGCAGAGGCTTGACAACTGAGCCACCCAGGCGCCCCGAGGGCAGGGAATTTTGTCTGACTTGTTCTTTGTTCTATCCCAGCACCTGGAACAGGGACGAGCACACAGTAGGTGTCGATACTATTTAAGTGAATGAATGTGAGTGCGCTCACATGTCTGCTGTGGGCCCGTGTGCCAACGTGTGGTGTGTGTGTGTGTAGACGTGCACACGCTCCTGTGTCTAAGCGTGTACCTCGGCGTGGGTGATATTGCTCACATGCCACCACTCCCACCCCCTTTTCCAAACTCCTCGGAAGCCAGGGCCCAAGGCCTGGGTCCCAGCGGGGCGGAGCAGGAGGCGGCCTCCTCACGAGAAACTGGATCCCTGGACGTGCGGAGCAGCAGGGAGCAGGGCTGCCCCTTTGTCCCCCGATAATCCCCTCCCGCCTTTGACCCCTCCCTCCCAGCAACCAGGGTTTAAGGTCGAGTTTGGGGACTGTAGGGGACTAGGGTGTCACCTCAGTGTCCCCTTCCCTGCCTGTCCCTTGCTTCTGGGGCTTCTGCACCTGTGCCCCCCCCACACCCGCCCTAGGGTGTGACTCCTTCCCTCCCTCTTGGGCGGCCTCAGCGCTCAGCCCAGGTATAAAGCCACCTGAGGGGCAGGAGGACAGGTGCCCCAGAAAAACCCAGAGACTGGAGAGAGGAAGGAGCCAAGGAGAGAACATGAGCTATCCGCTAGGTGAGTGTGGGGGGGCAGATGGAGTGCCAGGGCCTAGAGACCAGGAGGGGAGGGGTACTCTCTGGGCTCTCTGGCCCTTAGGACTCAGGTACCTGGCTGTCTTTGCTTGCTAGGAACCTCCAAATCCTTACACACAGAAGGCTTCGTTCATCACTCATTCATTCATTCAAGAAGAATTACTGAGTGCCTATTATGTGCTAGGTAGGTTTCTAAGCATTTGGGGATACAGCAGTGAACAAACAGACAAAAAGCTATGGTCTCATGGAGATTTCATTCTGCAGACAGACGATACACATCATCGTCATAAGTAAGTAAATTAGTCTGGGTGGCTCAGTCGGTTAAGCGCCTTCGGCTCAGGTCATGATCTCAGGTCATGATCTCTGACCCTGCTCCCTCTCGTACTCTCTCTCTCTCCCTCTCTCTCTCTCCCTCTCTCTGTTTATTTGACAGAGAGAGACACAGCGAGAGAGGGAACACAAGCAGGGGGAGTGGGAGAGGGAGAAGCAGGCTCCCCGCCGAGCAGGGAGCCCGATGTGGGGCTCCATCCCAGGACCCTGGGGTCACGACCTCAGCCGAAGGCAGACGCTTAACGACAGAGCCACCCAGGCGCCCCAGTAAATAAAATCTTAAAAAAAAAAATAAGTACGTAAATTATAATGCCAGTTTGATATAAGGTGAGTGCAGTGAGCCAATTTTTTGAATGAATGAATGAATGGGCCTTCACTTTCAGCCTTCCCTTAAGTTCTGAACTTAGGGAACTCAGGAATGTAGAAAGGGGAACAAAGGAGGCCATCCCAATTTGCCTCTCATCTCCATTGCTTCCCGCTGGTGACCTTAGGCAATCCCCCCCCCACCCCTCCACCCCCCGCTGAGCCTCAGCTGGGACCGTAACTGGGCCTGAGCTGTAAGGGGACAATTCGCAGCATTTACTCAAATTTAAAATGAGCACACCCTCCAATCCAGATATTCCTTCTTTCTCTCTCTTTTTCTTTCTTTCTTTCTTTTCTTTCTTCCTTCCTTCCTTTTTCTTTCTTTTCTTTCTTTCTTTTTTCCTTCTTTCTTTCTTTCCTTCCTTCTTTCTTTCTTTCTTTCTTTTTTTTGATAAAGATTTTATTTATTTGACAGAGAGAGACACAGTGAGAGAGGGAACACAAGCAGGGGGAGTAAGAGAAGGAGAAACAGGCTTCCCACTGAGCAGAGAGCCCCATTCGGGCCCCTGGGATCATGACCCGAGCTGAAGGCAGAAGTTTAACGACTGAGCCACCCAGGCACCCCTTATTCCCACTTTCAAAAGTGCCCAAAGAGTCTGGGATAAGGATGTTCATGGCAGCATTCAGTCATTCAACAAATATTTATTAAGCTCTGTGCTAGGTGCTGGGGAACCAGCAGCAAATGAATCAGGGGAGGTTTCCTCTTTCCTGGAGACAAGATTCTAGGGGCAGAGACGGTAACAAACAAGCAGACAAATAAATAAATAATGAAATAGCAAGTCTCTGAAGACTATAAATCAGGGAGAGGGGGACGCCTGGGTGGCTCAGTCAGTTAAGCGTCTGCCTTCGCCTCAGGTCGTGATCTCAGGGTCCTGGGATCAAGCCCCATGCGGGCTCCCTGCTCAGCGGGGAGCCTGCTTCTCCCTCTCCCTCGGCCTGCCGCTCCCCCTGCTTGTGCTCTCACACTCTCTCTCTGGCAAATAAATAAAATCTTAAAAAAAAAAAAAAAGAAAGAAGAAATAAATCAGGGAGGGGGAGGGGGCTTTTGATATCCGGTCAGGACAGCTTATCTGAGTTGAGGCCTGAAGAACAAGAAGGAGCCAGGGTTGGGAAGGTTTGGGGGAGGCCAGGGCGGGGCCCAGGAAGGCCTGAGGGGGAATGGGATGGGAGGACAGTACAGACGGGTCAGGCCTTGTAGGCCGCAGGAGGGCTTTGGTTTACACACTTCCACTGTGTGAGGTGCGAGCAGAGGGAGGGTTCAGGCACAGGAGGGATCTAGTTGAACTGGGGGGCTGTTGGTGGGAGGGCAGCAAAGGTCGAAGCACAGACGGGGGTGGGGGAGGCTGCTGGCTCTAAGAGTCCAGGGAGAAGGTCTGGTGGCTGGGACGCAGGGGGGTGGCAACGGAAGGAGGGGGAAAGTGGATAGATTCTGGATGCATCTTTTCAACTTTTAAAAC